TCTCGCAAAAGGACTAGAGGGCCCGCTAGAAGGGCCACCTGATTAGCAGAACCAGGTGTTGCTCCTTGCAGCTCAACCTTTGCTTACAGTCTTCCTTAAGAGGAAAAATGAAGGCCACTTCAGGCTCAGGAGTCCCCACAGACTGACCCAGTTACTTAGTCAACAGCTCGAAATGCTAACAACGCTGTTAAGTACCTGTCCAGTTCCTTTTAACAGGCTCTGCCTGTTGCATTTGTAGCAGCTCTTGGTGGATCTGTTCCTTGAATGCCAAGCTAACACTGGCACCTCCTTTTGGGAAACCGGTTAGCGCAGGAACAAAACACAGAGCACATCCTCCCTGACGTCTGCGATTCTTATTTTGTGTTTTTTAACCTCCCAAATAGTAGAGGGCCAAATCCTAACCAGATTTCTAGAAGTGGGGCTCCGCAGTGGCGCTATCGATTGAAATGAAACTGGTCTAGATTTACACCTTTGAGAGAACAAAGAGTTCAAACAGAAATGAGATGAGGCAGTGACTTTGATATCATTTGCCTTCTAAAGCTTCCAGCTTTCAACCAGCAGGTGGAATTTATTCTCTGTGTCGATCTGTACTTGCTTGTTTGTTTGCTTTAGGCAGTCGATTATGAGATGAACAGAGCTTTCATGCTGACGGTGATGGTATCCAACCAAGCTCCACTGGCGAGTGGAATCCAGTTGTCCTTCCAGTCTACAGCAGGAGTCACCATTTCAGTTATGGATGTCAACGAAGCACCGTATTTCCCAACGAACCACAAGTTAATCAGGCTGGAGGAAGGGGTGCCTATGGGGACAGTGCTGACGACGTTTTCAGCTGTGGATCCTGATCGCTTCATGCAGCAAGCAGTAAGGTGGGAGACCAGGCTGCCAAATGAGGTCCTTCACAATCAAGAGGGAGATTTCAGCTGTCCAAGTCTGGGGAGCAAAGCAGCTGAAATCTAATTTGTAAGCTGTGTGGTATGGTATCACAAAATGCTTGGCAGATATTTGCACCCTCAGCCTTGTGCTTGCAGAGTGCTCGGCACCTCGGCTCTTGCGATCCTCCTCTGCAGGGAGCCAGGCTCTGAGCCACCTTCACGAAGGCAGGCACGAGCAGCTCCCCTGTTATTGCAGGGCAGGGGGTTCTCAGTTTCGGATTAAACCAGTCGAGAGCAAGAAGCCCCTGTGTTGTTATGAAGACTGAGATCAGGGCTGGGTTGTGCCGAGTGTTTCGTCTCTGCCTTGTCAAGGATGCTTCTGCCTATGTCGTTTATGCACTGTATGAACACAGGATGCAGAGGATTACAACAAGACAGTTTTGTCGTTTCTGTTTTACAGAGGGGGAATGGAGGCACAAAAAGGGTTAGAGGCCAAATTTCCAGAGGGAATGACTGGGATTTTTAATCGTGTCTCGTGTTGCTTCCAAAGGATTTAGCTCCAGCTTCAACCCGGCTTAAAAAAGCACACTGTGAGATTAGCCGTCAGCCTGTTAAGAACAGGGCTCGGTTGTTTACAAACAGCTGCTAAACAGGCTCTGAAGATGCTCTGTAGTTAAAAACTGCCCGAGCAATCAGACGCTCAGGTACAGGATGTTGGACCCTTGGTGTGTGTTGGACCGACCCCAGTTAGCATCGAGCACCCCAGCAGCCCTCGCTGCTCTGCAAGGAGACAGGTTTGTGCTGACCTTCTGCCCTTTGCCTTTGGAGCCGCTGCCAAAGCTGGCGTCCCTGACTCCTGCTTTCCCGATGGATGGGATACAGCCTACATAATTTTAGCCTTCTAAAAGTTAAGTGTTAGTTTAGCAGCCTGAGATCCCACAGGAGTCAGTGCTGAGGCAGTCGCTCAGTCACCTGTTGGGTTTTGTCCCATCCGAAGCTCTGGCAATTTGGGAGCTGCAGCTGCGTTTTGAGGAGCCCAGCAAGCCTCCCCGTGTAGAGATACGTTGTCACCTCCCTGGCGCACAGAGAAATTCCAGTAAATTAGAGCAGCCTGGTTGTGAAGTTCTTGATCATTCCCATACGAGGTGCACCTACCGAAAGGGAAGCTGCGTGCTTGCAAGGCCGGCGCTGGTGGTTTGCGCTGGCAAGTGCCTGGTTTGTGCATAGGTGCTGCTTGAGCAAGAGCACGTAGAGCCTCATTTCAGTATGCAGCTTATTGAAAAGTGCGTGAGAAATTGAGAGTCTTTGCCGTACCTTTCACAAGTATTCCAGCCTGTCTGTGCACAGGAGAAATGCATTTCCTGCTAATAACACAGATATTTCTGTGTCCGTAGAGGTTTGTTTTATCCCAAATGTTTAAGGGCCGCGGTGTTTTTGGCAAAACAAGAGAGGGTACTGTGTGACCACAGCTGAGGCCGCGTAAACTTACATCAGCTGTGACATTTCATGTCAGGAAGAGTTTGAAGTATTTCACCAGGCACAGAGCTGCCTGGTCTAGAAAATAACTGATTTCTCAGCGCCTCATCTTGCAGTCTTTAGACAGGTACTGCAGCTTTTAAGGAGAGAGCGTATCCTAACTAGCAAGCCAGTTTTGCTCAGTTTCTTTGTGAAATACTGGCCTTTGAAGGCCTTTATTTTCCCCTGACATCCGTACTAAGGCCGGTTCTGCAGAGAAGGGAATACTTTGGGTTTACTTGACTGCTCCCTCTAATCTGGAGGTGGTTGGATTGTAATCCGGAATGAACATCTGCCTTTTCTGGGAGAAGGGCAGGCTCTGCTGAGCCGTTCCTGTGATCGCACAGTCCGTGCGCAGGATCTTGTAAGACCATCTGTAAATATGAACAGCAAATTACTTGAGTTGTTTTTTTTTGTCTAGGGCTCCCAGGATATGCATTTTTTGCATCCAGCAGCAGTTGGTTTCCAAACACAAGTGCAACGCTCTCTTATCTCCTCTTCATCACGACAGCCTTATGCCACGGCTTTGCAAGAAGCAGTGGGGCGCTGTTAGCGTCCCCGAGCAGTCTTTGTGAACAACGCAAAAGGATATTTTGTTTTTTCTTCCCAGTTGGCGTTGTTGAGTTAGGAAAAAAGATGCACTGAAGGTTAAGCATGCAGATCAATGATAAGCACTTCTCAGAGAACAGGATCCAGCTGCTATATCCTCGCATACAGCTTTCAGAGTCTCTCTCTAAATAGCCTTTGATGAAATACGGTTTTTACAAATAGAAGATAAGGAAGTGGAAGCACCTCCCAGCAGGGCACAGCTTGGCATGGCTAGTGTCACACCTCAAATTATCTTCATTAGCTGCAGACATATTCACAAAGCCAGCTTCGAAGCTGGATCCCTGGTCATTTAGCAGTGAAAGGGCAAGAGATCAGCAATAATATTGAAAAGAAAGGAAAACACCCCAAAGAATCTAGCTCCATGAAGTGTAATTCTTTGCGTTGGCAGGGGCTTTTGCAGTTGTGTTGCTGCTGTCCTGTCCGCATGGATTCACGCAGCTCCAGTTTCACTTTGAGTTTCAGCTTCAAACAGCCCATTTATGGAAAGAGGTATTCACCAAAAGCCTGACTTTCTCCTGCCTGCATATCCAAAGATAAAAAGCGATATAAAACTATCAGCAGGGTCTGAGATACCCATGAAATAAAATCAGCTTTTGTTTGCTTATTTCAGTAATTGATAGCATGGCCATTTATTAGCTTCCAGCTTAATTGCAGATAATAAGGGTCCATCTCAGCTCCAACATTAGGAAGCTGAGAGGTAGAAATCAAGAGCAATAAAGAGAGCAAAACTAAGAAAGCAAACAAGTCAGAAAGGTAAACAGAACGTGTCTAGTACCATTTGGAAAAGGTTTGCCCAGCTTGCTATGTAGGACACAAACAGACGTGGGCTATGAAATGACTGAAGAGTCAGGAGGCAGATCTGCCTTCGGGCCCTTCCAGCGCAGAGCACGCAGCTCTTGGTCCGAGCAGGGCATGCTGGGGAATTTAGGTGATTAGGGCTTGGCACAGCTGTAATGAAAAGGTTTGACCAAGCCCTTTGATTCCTGAGCGGCTGCTTGCCTAGCAGCAGCTAAGGACTTCTGCAACAATATAGGGACGTGCTATTAGTCCTAGCTTGTAAAAGGGCAAACCAAGAACAGATAACACCTGTGGATCCCAGGAGACAGGGTCCATGGTGAAGGAGGAACCAGGGAAAGGTATCACCAAAGCCTTTTCCATCCCGTGGTCCCACCAAGTGCTTCTCTTTGCTCTTGTGGACTTTGGTGATGCAAAGATCTCTGGAGTCACATAAGGGCTTGTGCTCCAGTGCATCTCCTCTCGCTCCTAGTCGAAGTTGTTGCTCAGGGCTTGCTGCCAGCCAGCGTGCCACGCTCACAGCCCAGCACGCCGCCCCAACTCCTAAACGCTCACTAACGCACCCCCTGCCTGGCCGTCCGTCTCCCGCATCGCTGCTCCTCAAACCTCCCATGTTTGTGGTGGTGTCTTGGCTGCTAGTCAGAAGCATATAAAAATGTTGCGGGAGAGCAAACTTAAGACTGCTTCACGTCTGGGTTGATGCCTTAACACCACTGTGAGTTCCCGTTATGGTGTCACCAAAGCAATTGCTGCTAAAGATACAGTTCTAATACAAAAGGGGTGGCTTGGCCAAAGTGATGTTTAACATGTCTAAATACTGCAATTTTTTCACTGTGCTATTTCCTGAACTGTTGTTTATTAGGGGAGGGGCAGTAAACAGGGATATCCATGACTTTAGAGCAAGAGCTGCTTCAGGAAGGGCAACTTTAAGGGAGAGGGAGAGTGTGAATCTGTCCTCCAGTTCAGGCATGTGAATGCAGGGTCATTGCAGACCCCGTTTCTCCTTAGCTGCAGAGGCCTCGGGCTGCGTCCACTGTCAGGAGCAGGAAGCTGATGTGTTAGTGGCACTTAGTGGGAAGAGAAACCTTTAAAACGAAAGAAATGGGAAAATTGAATAATTGTAGAGGTCAAAAACCAGCTACTCAATTAGTATTTTGTTTGTCAACAAAACCAGTTATCCAAAGGTCCTTTGCATCATGGGTCAGGAGTCCAGGAAAACCTTATTTCAAGCAGTATTAAGGATGTGTCAGTGAAAAGACTGCCATGTATTTATTTCCTTTCTCTGCAGATACTCTAAGCTGTCAGATCCTGCAAACTGGCTGAACATTAATGCCACAAATGGTCAGATCACTACTGCTGCTGTCCTTGATCGAGAGTCAGACTACATTAAGAATAATGTCTACGAGGCCACATTCTTGGCGGCTGACAACGGTGAGCCCAGGCTTCACATTGTTCATGCTTCAATAAGGCTCTAATGTGATGCATTAAGAGAAATGATGCCCTGACAGAGTTGTCAGTATAAGTTATCTTTTTCCCAGTTTTTTTATGGTCAAAAATGTGAAAGGGGGACGGGAAATTGCTGGAGTAAATTAAATGTGCACAGTATACGAAGAGTGTTATTAAGGGAAAGGGAGGCAAATGGAAAATCGATTTGGGGAGTTCAGTGTAGCAATGTAGTCTGAACTTAAAAAAATAGCAAAGGGATGTGATTTGCAAAGTGCTGCCGATCACACCGGTCCTGGTAATCGTCCCAAACGCACTGATCAGAGCATTCGGGAAGCCTTCCATCAGGAAGTCAGGAATAATTGCAGGGGATGGAAGGAGGCTATTAAAAAAAAACCAATCCATTGAACTGCTATAGCTTTCATGAGGTCTGTCGGTCTGTCTGTCTGTCTGTCTATCATCAGAGCTAATCTCTCTCTGTCCATTTTCATTTCTGAAACGCCCAGCCATCATCAGAGCATCTGGATGCTGGTGTACTTTATTATCGAACTCGCTGTGCCGGTACAGATCTTCTCGCTGAGATGTCCGGTTAGGGCTTGCTCTTCTGTAATGATTAAAGATCACATAGCATTTTTGGTCAGATTAGCCCTGTGAACCTTTGCCCTGACCGTGATCAAGGGCAAGCAATTCATTGCTTCTCTCGTGGATTTCTCTTCCTAATTCTGATTAGTAAGAGCTGATGACTCTGTTACAATCCACGCGTGGATGTGGCCACACTGTTATTTTATTTGTCTATTCCTTCAGTCGGAAAAGCCTCTGTGGAGGGCTCAGCAGTCTCCCTGAGCAAGAGAAACGCCTTCCTTCCCCTCGCCCACCCTCACCTTCCCCCGAAGGATGCTAGGTGCTCACATAAGCTGATGTACAAACTCGGGCCGTGCTTCAGCAACAAAATGATACCTAGACTTGGCTGTGAGCACCTCAGTATATTGCTCGTTCACTGTAGGTGCTTTCAGGACATTTTCTGTGTCAAGCCTTGTCATCCCTCCAGCTGACGGGTGCTATGCACGTGTAAGGAGACCCGGTGGGGCTTACAGCGCTCGCAGAAACGTCTTTCCTCCGGGTTTTCAGGCTTTGACTGCAACTGTCGTTGCATCTTGGTTCACAGGGACAAGACAAACTCATGGGAGAGTTTTGGTGCCGAGTGACTGTACCAAGGAGCAAATTTCCTCCCTTTTTTATGCTAGCAGGAGTTGGGCCTGCAGGGGTTGCGCAGCCTGTGCTTCCTGCATCTGCCCACCCTAAGCTCCCCTTCTGGGTCCTGGCTGCAGAGCTGCTCCCCCAGGGAACGCAGGCGCGTGGGGGGCACGATGCCTCGCTGAAGGTAGGGCAGAGCTCATTTGTAAGGCTAATAACAGGAAGGGTAATAACAACCCAGCCACCTGACGGAAATGTGGGCTCAGAGGGTCAAGCCTTGTAAAAGTCTAGATGCTGGATCTCAGCAGGTCTGCAAGAAAGCTGCTCTTCTCCGAGAGGGACCTGAGGCCTGTGACAGGCCTGTGACAGGCAGAAGCTGCATGTCCCTAGTTTCCCGGCTAGTGTGTTGGTGTTTGGTCCGCACAGTCACTGCTGCTGAAGCACCATCAGCTGATCAGATATGGCGGAGGTGTGGCCACGTCCCTCATCCTGCTCTCTGCTCAGGAAGAGTAACCGCTCTGCTGGCAGGGCAGAGCGGGCAACCAGGGCAGTGGACTCCTAAATAGCCCCAGGAGGATCTGGCAGCATTTATCCGCAAGTGCCCCAGGGCAAAACGAATCAAATGATTTGGCCAAGGCTTCACACAAAAGCTGTGGTAGAGCTTGAACCCATCACACCCATTCTCACCCTCTGACCTGGCAATCCAGGGCGTGTGGTACAATGTGATTTTGGGTTAACCACTTCCTTCGGCCTTGGTGCTGATGCTGCAGTGCATCACTGCCTCCGCATCCATCATTCAGCAGCTCGGAAAGTGCGGACCTAGAAAAATCTCCTTATTTTGAAAAATTAATCTGTCACTGGTACGTTGCAGCCATTAAAATGCACATAAAGCAACACCTTATTTAAAATTCTGTCTAGAGTGCTTAGGATAACAGCTAAAGTTTCATCTAGGCTAATAGACTCCCTTCACATTTATCCCAGTTTCCAGCTTCTCCATAGTCACACTCTCATCAAAGCCAGGCTTTGGGTTGGGGTTTTTGGTGTTTTTTTTTTTCTTTTTTTCTTGAAGAAGAAGCAACATCTTGTTTCCTTAAATGCTTTTTGCTATTTTCAGTATATGATAAAGAAGCTGTTGTGCCGAACACTCTTTTGGACGTTCTCTCTTTCTCTCCGTGGACTACAACGCAGAGATGTTCACATAAGACAAAAAAGCTTGGCTGCAATGCAGAGGCGGGGAGAAAAGGGAATCCTAATCAACAGAGTATTTTTTGCCTGCTTTCATAGGAGAGCGAGGCTCCTGGATCACACTGTGTCTGCACGAGTATGGAGCCTAGTAGTGTTCGAACCTTTCAACAAATATAGATGTAGTGGTTATATCTTCCTTTTACTTTTGAAATATTCTGATTATTATGTCAATCTTAATATCAGGCAATGGGCGAACTTCTCCACTGGGGTCAGTGGTGCTGTGTTAGTTCACATCTCTTGAGCATAAAGTCCGAGGATCCTTTGTAGGATCCTTCAGCGCCTGCACTATCTGTGGCCTTACTCTCTCACAGAACAGCTGAAATGATTTGAAACGTTTCATGGTTTGCAGTACTGGGACATTTAAAATATGTTTAATTTCCATTTCTCCTGAGATGGCCCCAGAACTGCACTCAGGAGCACAAAGAACTAAGTACAACAGTACCCGCATATCTGCCCAAAACAGCATTTGTACATACAGCAATTGCAAGTTATTTCAGTCAAGTGTGACTTCGAGCTGCTCAGGATTGCTAGTTCACATTCAGCCTATCTCAGAGGTACAGAAGAATGTGAGCCCTGCATTCACCCCGGAAGACAGTTGGGTAACACAAAAACAGGAAAATCATTTCGCTTGGTCCCATAAGCCCATTTTCATGTTCAGCCTCAGTACCCTGATGGGCTGCCTGCCTCTCCACAGATTTTCAAGGCTGATCAAAGACATTGTTTTAGAGAGAGCCACCCAGTGCTTACTAGATGAAAGGATAAGATCAATGACTGAGGAGATTATGCAGTCATCATGAAAGAAGGATTTTCAGGGCTCCTCAACTCCTTCTGAGTTTCTGAGGCTCCCTCGGACAGCAGAAATGAAAAAGGAACATAGAAAGGAAAGCAAATGTAAGTAGAAGCAATGTTTGGACATCTAGTGAGGGAATGGCTTGCATTGCTTTGTATCCAGCCCTGGGAGGAAGAGCCAAAACTAAAAATATAAACTGAAAAAGAACCACTGAAGCAAAGTTATCTGAGAAAGTAGGCAGTGTGCAGACCTGGAGCAGAGCTACCAGATGTTTGTGTGGGAATAAAAATTAAAAATACTGAGTCCTTTCCGGGGAGGCTGTTCATTCTTGCCAGTAAGGGCATTAGTTGGTGCAGCTGGTCCTTAGTCAGCCAGCTGTGACTATCTGTGAGGAAGGGTTGGAGGACCAAGACCTTTGTGCCGTGCAGCGCCGCAGCATCCTTGCCAACTGAGACAAGTGTCGAGTGGATGAAGAAATGCTTATTGGGACATACTGTTGCTGCCATGGCTTAAGTAGCAGCAGAGCATGTTTTGTGATGCTTAGTTGATACCATAAGATTTAAATGAGGATCTGTCACCACTAAAGCAAGGGGTGACTGTTGGATGGGCTGCAGACTGGACTTTCTTTCAAGCAACATAGTAGTCCACAAATCTGAAAACTGGCTTGGCAAGTGCTATAGTAAATGCTGACCAGTGGATTACACTATTTTTTTTTTCCCCTTCCATGCCTTCTTCTTCCTCTTTTCAGCTGATAATTTTTCCTCTTCAAAAGAAGCACTTACCAAAATTTGACACTAGCAGCCTGGTGTCTCCTCCTTGTGTTTCTAGAGCTTGACTAAAGACATTGCTGTAGGCTACAGATCTACAGAGCCCCACCTCCACTTTCTGCAGGATCAGAAAACAGAAGCATCATGAGGTTTGGAGAAGTTTTAATGATGCCTCTTAAAGCCAGGGACTGTGAAAGCGCAGTTTGTCCCTCATAAAATCTAAGGAGGGAGGGAGAAAATCCTGGTTTACTGAAATTAGAAGGCAGAGAGGCAGGGGACTGGTACACGGTGTTGTCGTGCCTGCTGTTTCTTGAGTGACGCTCATCAGTCGTGGTTCGTCTCTGCCTCTCCCGTTCAGGTATCCCCCCGGCAAGTGGCACTGGCACTCTGCAGATCTACCTAATCGACATCAACGATAACGCTCCTGAGCTCCTGCCAAAGGAGGCACAGATCTGTGAAAAGCCAAACCTAAATGTCATCAACATAACGGCCGCAGATGCTGACATTGATCCAAACGTCGGGCCCTTTGTCTTTGAGCTGCCAAGTGTGCCATCTGCGGTGAGGAAGAACTGGACCATAACTCGGCTAAATGGTAAATGGGGCAGGCAGTCCTGAGGACACTTGGACTCTGATTCACTAAAGAGACCGCGTGCGGTTTCAAACTTCCAAACTTTCCTACTTTTTTGTCTGATTTGTGTTTTTCTAAGCACATTATGGCTGACATTATAGACAAGATAGTTAATCAGAAATGATTTGTATCAGACCTGCAGCGTAACTCTAAGAGCCTTGGCACTTGGCTTTTTTTAATGCGGTTCATAATTATGAACAGTTATCAGGACTGAACAGAGTATAAATCATCCATAATGGCCAAGGGGAAAAAAGCTATTATCAGTCTTCCTTATGTTCCAGTGTAATTGTCATAAGCCACAATCAGGATCAATGTTCATTTCTCTGACCATAATTGCGTAAAGGCAGCCTTTTAATTTACCATGGAACCGGGAGGGCTAGGTAAGTGTGAAGATTACCAGTATGTGAAGGATTTCTGTATCTCAGCATGCAAGCACAATTGGCCCTAATTGGTCCTCTTACTGGTAGTTTCAGCAGAGGATTGGAAGTGTCCTGGAGCCTGAGCTACTGGCTTTGCCTGAAAAGCTGCTCCGTCTCGCTCCGGTCTGACACCCGCTGCCAGGCCAGCGAGCGGAGGGGCTGGGGCTCTCGCC